CAGAGCGCGGTGCTCCAGCTGGCCTCCTGGCCGTGGCAGACGCGTGAGAGTCGGCTCGCCGCCCCGAGCAGATGGAGCTTGGACCGCCGCGGCTGCTGCCCCGCCTCGTTAATGATTACCGGCGGCCCTGACCGTGGTATCAGCCATGAGGCGCAGGGGTGTGTGTGTGTGCGTGTGTGCTGGCTTGTAACCCCGGCGGTCTGACGAGCTCGGCTAGCGCGGAGGGAGGAGGGAGGGAAGGGCAGGGCAGGGCGCCGCGCTGTGACGTCACTCCGGCCCGGCGGCTGCCCAGGTCGCCGCTGGTGACGCGGCCCTGGCGCCCGGGGGCCACGCGCAGTGCGCCCCCCACCTTCCGCCCGTCTGTGTGGACCCCGCCTCAGCCGCTCGACACGCGAAATAACACGCGAATAACCCGCCCCTTCTTCTTACCCACGAAGAGTCACCCTCGAGTCGGCGGCGTCGAGGTCCGACAGCAGGTACACGGGCGTCCGGTCCACGCAGCTCCGATCCCGCTGACTCGAGCTCGCCCACTACCGTAAACCACCGAAACCACGGGACACGGGATTAACGCGCCAACGGAAATTTAATCCTTTACGATGCAAAGCAGATTTAAGCACAGGAGTCGCCTGAGACCGCGTTGGCATTTACTGCCACGTCCCGGAGATCCAGCACAGCACGGTTCCAGCCGGGGAAGCCAAACCTGAACCGCTCCAATCCCGTAATCGTACTCCGGGAAGCACTCGGGCACCGGAGTTTATTTCCACCGAGAGCGTGACCAGTCCTTGTCCACAAACCCACGCGAGAGGCTCTGTCGCGTCACGTCCTCAGCTGCTGTGTAGGTGCCGCACGGCGGTTATGTTTTATGCCGCTTTAACCTGTCGCCAGCGGTGAAAAGGAGTTCTGGGGGGACCGTATATTATGTTCTTTATGGCCAGTGAAGATAAGCACGAGCGGCCTCTGGTGGCTGCGCGCTGGCAGGTCACTGGTGATACTGATCGCACGATCTGTTTGTGACACGTTATTGAAGTGTACAAATGGTGAGGTTTTTACACTGCGCCGCAGTCTGGTCAGGTCCGCTTCGGAGACTTCACTTCCGTTGTTGCGCCGTTGCCTTTAACATAAGATCTCTTTACTGTCCCTGCCAGCCGCGGGATTCGAACCGGCAACCTCCCGGCCACAGGCACAGCTCCTGAGACACAGAGCCACCGCTCCGCCCTCAGTTACAAATGAGGAGGCAAACACCCCAATCAGCAATCAGCCGCTCATTAATTCAGAGAGCTCACCCAGCTGTGTCTGGAGAGAAGTCTGGGTATCGGCTTCAACAACAGGGCTGGGCAGCTTGTTCCCCACCCCCACCCCCCTCTGTGTAAAGCATAGTCTCCTGTCCTGACTGGAGGAGCTCACCCAGCTGTGTCTGGAGAGAAGCCAGGGTATCGGCTTCAACAACA